GAGTTCAGCTGGTGTCTTGGCTTTCCATGCCTTTTTACACCTCCCTTTCTTCATGTGTTCAATACTTTTCCCCCTGTGCCATTATTACAAATAACGTCATTTCTGGACATTTATGTTTTGATTTCTTTTTATGTATGGATCACTTAGGTTGTTACCAATATCTGGTGAAAATTTCATGTCAKTAGCACCTCTAGTAATATATTTACTGAGAAAAATGTTGACGTGTTCAATACTTATTTTACCCGCCGCAATTGCCAGAGAAAAGTTTAACATAGTCTTGGCAATGTGAATGGCAACTCCAGCTGATTTCATTTCCCCTCTGAGATTCAGTTTCTTCTTCTTGGTTTTATATCATAATGGGAAACACAAGCCTTTGTCAAGTCATTGGCTAGAAAGAGAAGAAAGCATGTGGCAGCTTGGTAAAATTGTCTTTAAGTGTTTGTGCAGAGCCTATTAAATTTATTATAGTGAGCTGAAATCATTTTTCCTACCTGCAAATTGTTAATAAGTCTCAGTGTACATGAGGCAACATGTACACTGAGACAATCTGCTCAAATGTCTTGTAAAAAAATCATATTGAATATCATTGAATCAGCTTGATATGTGCTCAGTCCATATCTTTTACGTCATCTTGACTGCTGTACCGAGATATTAGAGATCCATACACTCAAAATATGATGTATGATTGTGCTGCTTTGGAATAGATTGGGGATTACGTTTGGTGCAGATTTTTGGTTTGAAGACAAGAAAAGCAGAGAGAAAATATAACAGGCTTCCAAATTAAGAAAAATTTACATGTTCCACGCAGTGGAAAAGGTCAAAGCTGTAAAGGAGCTTAAGAAAGAGACTTAACTCCTGATGAGGACAGGTAACATGTATTTGTAGGGCTGCATGTGAAAGTTAAGTGGCTCAAACGGCTGCAGGTATATGGAAGGCAATTTGGCCACATTTTCACCATGTATGTGTCATCCCACACTTACAGCTGGAGAGAAGTTATCTTGTCTTATTACTGTCATCTGAGTAAATTACAGGATAAAAAGTGTAGATGGTGCTA